CCTGCGAAAAAAAAAATCATTGACATAGGATAGGTGATGATAGGAAACAGACAACCACAACAGGCAATAAGTGTTTATTAAAAGATTAATTCAACTGTTTAAAGTTAGAACGGCACACTCAACAAATTTTTCTTTAACTGAAAGAAAAGAAATTTACTCCTTAAAAACCAGAAAATTATAGAATATAGTTTAAAAATGTGTTAAAAACGTATATAGAAAAGAAATCTCACAGATCTGATGAAAATTCAAAAACCGCTCAGTATTATTGTAGGCAAGTCCTAGAAGGTGCTGTTCGTTTCTCAGCCGCAGAACAATGGGTGATTTTCGCCAATCATTTTATTAAAATTGCGGTTTTTTGTACATCCAGGAATTTCGACGACGGCGGCGGCGGCGGCGGCGGTGGCGTCGGAACACGCTATTCGACGGGAGGTGCTGAGGTCGACAACGACGAAACAGCAGGGCGGGTGTCCGGGACGAGGAGACGAAGCGTCGATGGCGGTGCGCGTTCTGCGCAATGCACGCGGAGTCAAAAGGGCCATCATTGCGACAGCCACACGCTCGCTCAACACCTGCTCCGTCACTCAAGACGATGAGCTGCTTTCGAGTCACAGGGCTGCAGTGAATCGGCGGCCAACGCCGAAACAACTCAAAGCAAAAAGCTCAGCCGCAAGCCGAGCTACATAGCTCATGCTTTCGATCACACAACCAAGATGACGACGGCTCCGACGATCGACCGGTATTTTCGTCACTGTGACCCAACGTTTGACCTTGACCAAACGGGACGACGTGCCAACGTACCACTGGTCCACTTGAAACCGGTAGCGATGACAAACTCAAGCAATCGATTTCCAGTGCTTTTCTTCTTTTTATTTCGTCGCCACGGCAACGAGGAAATATGTTTGGAGTTCTGACCTCAGTCCTATGGGGATGGTGGAAGGAAAAGGCTCAGTGGGTTGTAGCGCTGTTTAAATTTTCTAATTGAAACTGTTAATTCACTTGAGCAAGAGCAGCAATTCATATCCCCGTGGTTCGGCTCAACCAGCCGCGACCACGGGTAGAAATAAACTGTCTCTAATTTACAAAAAATATCGGTAGTATGATGGTATGTTGTGGCAATTAAATAGCGTACGATATATGCCAATACGCCGTATGATGACTACCTTAGGGCTGCAACGTACCTTGACCAACGTGATGAATATAATTCATGTAATAATTGTGCATGAATATGATATGATAATCAGCACGTTGTGTGAACTCAATTCTTTTGCCTTTTAGTTTCATCTTAAAGCTCGATATTCATTCTACTACGATTCGCCCAGCAACGTGAACTACTTCCCTTCTATCGTGCTGGGCAGAACTGCAACAGTGACCCATGATATCTTCTACCCTTTTCATTTCGACTTGGCGATTCCTTTACCTTTCATTTCTGGAGAAAGTATCCGAAAGTGTTTTGCGGAGCTCTCCATCTTCTGTAGCACCTTGAACGTGCCGCGTAGCGTAAAATCTCCTAAGATTTTCGCCCCCTGTGTCGACATGTTTTATGTACTTTGGCGTCATCGATAAGATTGTCATACTCATTCATTTTCAAAACCCGCTTTTCCTTTGTCGCTTCAAGGGCAATAGCTTCAGGAGGTATCAACAATCGGTGTCGTCGGTATACATCGTACATCTGCATGGCTTAATTTCAACGAGATAAGTATCATAACTGACAATGTACTGGAGCCATATTGTCTTCAGTCTGTTTCTTAATCATCTAGCATATATTTTCGCCAATGGTTTATCTCTTTTGATATCCCAATCACTGATCAGACCAACTTCAACCTTTGTACCTAAAGTAGGAATGAAAGGCGAGGTGAAGAGAAATTTTTTCGCAAAATTATCAACTTTAAACCGACCTGGCTCTTCATCCAAATGACACAAAACTATACCAGTTTTGATGTTACTTTTCCACTAAGGGTTTACCACTCTCAGGCATAAAATGATTGCAAATCTTGCACCGCATTCACAGCAATCATGCGCTTCTTGATTCCGTTATTAATCAACTTGAATAATAATTTTCAAACGCTGTTTAAAGCTTTTAATTCTTATGAATTTAAATTCCCATTTCCTCCATCATATAGAAGCCTACCGTGAAAGATATTCGAATTTCAACAAAAATTTCTGGGTAGCTATACAAGTTTATTTTATTAAAATTTTCATGCTAATCTTCCGACCTGAGTCGCGAAGACAGACCACGTAGAACAGTGCTTCCAACGCTTCCCATGCGGCACAAAACAACCACAGTTTCGAGAAAACTCCTTCCACGTGCTTGCACCAGCATAATTTTGCCGACCCCTGGGCCTTCTGCCAGTCCACTGTACAACAAGAAGTTGCTTCGCCTTTCTTTCTAAACGCATTCACAACACCAGCCCACACCATCGCAGTTGTGACTTCTCAATCTTAACAAGCAGCTGCTGCACACCATGGCTCTTGAGGATGTCCGTATTCCGGACCTCATCGAGACATGTAGGACCGAAGACTCATCCCGTAATGACCATTTAGCAGCATGTACACGGGATCAAAGTTTTAAGTTATAGTCCGTGACTCATGACCGTAGGTAAGGATGGGGAGGAAGATCGACTTGAATACCGACAGCAGTGCTCAGACCCAGCTCTGCTATAGTCACAACGGTTCATGGCAGTTCATGTAGAGCGCCACTGACTGCAGCAACCACCGGACGATCTCTTCCTCTAATTTTCCATCACCAGTGAAAACGACCTTGAAGTACTTCAATTTCTCTACATGCTCCACTGCTTCTTAACGTATCTGACGAGAGCAACGGACAGGAGAACGAGAAAGCACTAGGTTTTTCGTTTTAGAAGCGTTCGCACGCATGCCGGTCACGTCGCACTCGGCTGCGAACCTTTCTAAGGAGCACTGGAGATCAGTTT